GGGGGGGGGGGGGGGGGGGCGCATGTTCATGCAGTTGAGTCAATTGAGATTATGGGAGGAATCTTGGCCAGCCAACCCTGGCAAGTCGGCGCTGGCACGCCTCCTACTTTCGCAGCAAGCAGCAATTCCGTTTTCGTGCTTTTGATGTACATGGCTTGAGTCGATTTCCGTGATCAGGATGTGCCAACTGTTTCCGGTGGCAACACAGCACAGGCTGGCTAGCAGCATTTGCTGTGGTTGTAGAAACGATCTAAGTCTAAGCCGTCAGCTACTTTCCGTCGAGCCAGCCAAGCCGACCCACCATCAATGCCTGTCCAGCCCCCTGCACTAGTCATGAGATTCACGTCAATGTGGTTTCCAAAAGCAGGATGCAAACATTTTGCACAGGAGCGTACGTATAAAGTGCGACTGGTGAAGACTTGGCCTCAGACTCCGCACTCCGTATCCATGGGTGAAGAGGCCGACACAAAGACCTGAAGCTACCTGGTCATAGTAGCAAAACTGGTGGAGTCGTCGCGTCAAGGAAAGAAGGCCAGAAGTTGGGTCTTGACGTGGACTACATGGCCGAGCCATGGACTCAACTTGAGGGGGGACTGCTGCTGCACAGGCCGGCGGCCAGTGCATGACCCCGAAACCAGGCGCAGCGTTCTCCCGATCCTGGTCATCTCCGGAGGCATTGCTGAGCCGGGAGCTTATCACCTGCCAGTGACGCGATCATGTCGAAGAAACAACGGATGATGAGGATGTGGAACAAACAACACCCAGACAAGAAGATGAACACGGGCGCCCGTGTCCAAGCAATGCTGGAGAGTGTGAACATGCATGAATCAAGACCGAAGCCATAAGGACAGCATCACCGAAGTTAATGGCATCAAAGGCAGGACTCTGCCGCTGTTCGGGCGAGACTTCTGAAGATGTTTGCTCAGGAAATGTCGCCCTGATGCTGGAGAAATGCAAAGCAGACCAAACTTTGGAGCCCGGTCCAAAGACTTCGCTGAGGGTCTTCAAGAGCTCACCAGTTGTCTTTGCTGCCAGGTTGACTGTTGTTAAGTGCCTGACGTACGGACACTTGGTCCCAAGCCGAGCTTGCAAAGGGCTTCGTGCTGTTTGTCTTGCTATTCCGAAATATTCTGAACAAGCTCGATCTTCTTTTCTGTGCCGTCAGCGACGCATAGACTGCGCCGTGATCGGGCAACGAAAACAGGGACTCGTACAGACCTGCCCGGGCTGATGGGACCCGATTCTTCGGCTCAACCGTGATCGCAGCGAGGAGCGGCAGAGATGTGTCAAGTGATGAAAGTGCATCGTAATATCGTAATTCCCGTCGGCAAGTACATGCTGACGTTGGGTTTCACAATCACTTCCACAAGAAAACTTTGCGTATGGATTGGTCAGCTTTGCAAAACCCTATTCTCGGACACGCATTCTCTGAGCATATCTCCTCGGATCTGAATCATGATGCGCTTGTGGATGTGAACCATTTCTGGGATTGTGCTTGTTCTTCACTGGCGGCTGCACCCTTGCAATACGTACCCGTCGAGAGCACGAGAGCCAACAAACCATGGATGAGTTCACGCACCCCGGACCTCTTGAACCAAACGCGTGAAGCTCGAATAAATGGAAACTGGAACGTTGAGGAGCAATTGCAGAAGGACGTCAAGAAATCAGCCAACACGGATCGCTCCAAATGGCTTGAGGATTTGGCATCTTCCGGGGAGTGGAAGTCGATTAAAGCGCTCCGCAGGGGTCGGATCACGAAGCAGGGGCGAGTGAGGACCACGGATGGGGAGTTGGTCTCATCTGATCTGCGGCAGGGACACCGGCTGAGCACCTGGAACAAGCACAATGGAGAATTCGACCAACGACATTGATTCCTGAATAGCGGTCGAATTTGAGTGAAAATTTCCAAGTCAGCAGGTCGGATTATTTCAACCACACCGAGCTCAGGAAAGCTGCTTGAAAAATTGCCAGCGGTAAGGCAACAACAGCAGACGATGTTCCCGTGGAGGTTTTCAATTCTTTGGCCATGGAACCCAACTCATCCTTTCAATGGCTGTTGGATCTTTGCAACCATTGCTGGCGAGCTGCCGTCGTTCCCGATGAGTGGTCCACAGCTTCAGGTGCAATGTTATTCAAGAAAGGAGACCCAGCCGATCCGAACAACTACCGACCAATTTGTTTCCAGAGTATTGCGTACAAACTGTTTGCCTCCCTCCTCAAACAAGGGCTTCTTGACGCAGGTGTGCGGACCAGACTTTGGAAATCACGATCTGGGTTTTGAGAAGGTCATTGTACTGAAGATGCCATTTGCGTTGCTTTTCGAAAAATCGAACAAGCTTGTGCCCAGTGAAATGGTCAGATCCGCCTGTTGGCCCTCGATTGGAAGAAAGCTTTTGACGGTATCAAACAAGGTAGCAAAGCCAAACTAAAATCACAGAATGCTGGCACTTCACAAGGATGCACTTTGAGCCTGCTTCTGTTTATCATCGTCATGACGGTTCGATGCGCGATGCTGTTTCAAATCTTAGTGGTGCTGCACTGCTTGCATACAATCGTGGGAATTTGACCGGTATTGTCTATGCTGATGATACATTGTTGCTTGGCACATCCGACCCTCATGTGCAGGACTAGGTGACTAGTTGTCTCAGATCGCAGATGCAGGGCTGTTGTAGGGAATGCAGCTTCACTGGGATAAGTTTCAATTGCTACAAGTACAAGGTCAAGCAATCATTCGGACTCCAACGGGTGAGCATATTTCGCCAAAACTGGGCATCGACTATTTGGGATCTGTTCTCAGTCATGATGGGCTACCAGGGCATGAACTCGGTCGGAGAATCGGGATGGCAAAGCGGGATTTTCTGGAGCTCCAAGAAGTCTGGAAGCATTTTTCATTATCGCGGGATCGGAAGGTTCAAACCTTTAAGGCTCTCATGGAATCATAAACTGATGTATTCCCTGAGCTGCTTGTGTTTATCTTCCGCGGATCGTCGGCGTCTTGATGGCTTTCAAAACCGTTGCTTGCGAAGTATTTTCGGCATCCCACCTGCTTTCATCTCGACATTCAGTTCCGCGCAGAGCTTGCAACCCCACTGCTACAGACATGCTATTGAAACGACAACTCCTCCTTGTCGGTAAAGTGCGACCACCCGTGCACAGCTCCGCATGTATTGGTGGAGTGCTGCAGCCTGCCACAAGTATGTATGTTAGAAGAGTGGGGAGGCCGCGGCGAGAATGGGTCACATTTGTCTCTAGACAAAACCATCTCAAGTCCTTGAAAGCCATCGTGAGATAAGCAGACTTGTACAGAATCCTCCTGTTTGGAATCGTGCGGTGTGCCAGTTTACCTGTCCCCGCGCCGCCCGGCGTATGACCGACTGAATGAAGCCGCACTGGAGCCTAGTGTACTCTTTGCCTCCGGTGATCTGGCGATTCGACACTCCCTTTTCCAATTCAGCTTGGGCTTTGGCTTTTTGGCTGCTCTTGCTCTGCAATTATTGTCGAGTTGACTTGGGCAGAAACGTCCGCCCGGCGGCATGGCCTGCGTGAAGGTTGCGGACTTGGAGAAGCTGATGCTGGTGAAGGGGTGTGGCCCCATCATGCCAGGAGCCTACGGCCTACGTGGCCTGCCTGACCGCCCCTCAATCACATGCTCGCAATCCTCTCAGCCAAGGGTCCGACTCTCCTGGCACGATGCTGGCGTATTTAACGGTGCCGCCTCTGCGTGTTCTTTCAAGCAGTTTGCAAGAGTCTGCAAGAGTTCAAGCCAAGCTGCGACTCCCCGAGTCCGACTTCTTATATGCAGGAAAGTTGGGTGTAGTCTGAGTCCCTGAGGCGCTGACGGCTGCCCAAACGCTGCAATGCGTCTTGCCGGCTTCTCCCCCAGTTGGAGGTTCTGCTTTCGAAGAGCTGCCAAAGAGTGTTGCTGAGGTGGGGGTGAGCATGCCTTCGGGGCGAATGCAGGGCTGCCGAGCGCTTACGAGTTTGGACAGGGGCAGTTCTTCTGAAGCGGATGCCGGCCGCAGTCCGGCAAGCAACTGAGGCCGCAAGTGGCGATTCCTCTCTTGCAGGCCATCAGTGACAAGTGAGCCGACTCGTTCAGGGTGCTTTTCGCTTGACCCATCCGCCCAACGCAAACGTTCCTGTCTAGGTACGTGCCCAGACTCATCTCTCATGCGGACCTCTGGGCACTTGCGGCCAACGTGGCCATCAAGGCATCCGCCTGAACACATTTGAAGCAAATGGTGCTAACGGTTGCATAGCTCGTGGAGGTGATGGGAGGACCTGACATCGTGACACACTTCGGCCGTGTGGATGCCGGGAGCCCTTGGCTATCCCTTGGAGTGTTCACGCAAAGCGGGAGATGACAGCCACTTGCGGCGAAGGCTCAGTCGCCCTCCGATGGAGCTACTTCCGCAGCGGGGCGACTTCCGGACCGTGGTCGCCAGTCAAGACAAGACCCCCAAATAAAGCAGTCCCACAGACTTCGCATGGGAGGATGGCGACAAAGATGCTCAACATCTTCGCGACATCTTCCGGCCCAAGGCTTCCGCAGTCCCGAAGCCTCCATGAGCCGCATGAGCGCAGAAGCAAGACTCCTCCGGCAGGGCTTCACGGACAAGGATATTGTCGCCCTGTCGGGCGCGCACACAGTTGGGTTTGGCTCTGAGTTTGGTTTGTTGAAACACCAGGCGCAACACTGCAAACATAGGTTCCAGAATGCAGTGGGGCCGCAAAAAGAGGAGTCTTCAGGGATCGCCTTGCTTGGAAGATCAGCTCGCACAATGGTTTGGCATGTAGGCTTTGAGGTCGACCCCCTGTGAGGCAGGACCTGGTAATCAAGAGTGGCTCATAGGCATAGGATGGAATAGGAACACCGGAATTTTTCCGAAGAGCTGTGTCGGCAGAGCTGCATTGCTGTATGATACTGTATGGCACGCTCTCTAAAGTGCCATAGCCCCAGAGGTTTAGCTCCACAAACAACGTGCAGGCAGCACTCCAGTGTCTGCCTTTGGAAGCAGGCTTTCCACAGGTTTTTCAAATTGAGTGTCGGCATGTTTCGGGCAGGCAAGTCACGTATCTTTGAGGGAATTGAGCACAGCAAAGACATTTGTTCAGACGAACTGCGACAAAAGGCAAGCCATGCACAAGAACCGAGGATGGCGATGCAACAACAAAGAGCGGGCATGAGCATGACTGCAGAACATCGCGACAAAGACACGGAAGGGTTACGAGAACCGGGAGTTATTTCGAGAAGCGGGAATTTGGTGTGTCAATGTTTCGCTGGTCTCTCTCATTGCCAAGCCAGAGGGAATGCTACCTGCCTCAGTTGGCAAAACAGATGGACACTTTCGCTTAGCCTACTCAGGGCTTGCCATGCGGATCGATCTGGCTTTGAAGGACCATGGACAGCAGTCGGGGGCTGAGAGAAAGAGTCTTTTTCCATCTGCTCTTGTATGACTTGGTTGGCGATGTTGGAAGAAGAAAGGTGAGCATACGCCCGTGTCGAGCGGTTCGCGATTTTACGCATGCAGACGTTGCTGGAGTTCTCCACATGCTAGAGCCAAAGCTTAGGATAAGCTCAAGTTCGACAACACCTACTTCCAGGCCCGAGTCGGGGGCTCTTGAGGAGAAAGGCGCAATGTTGAACTGCCGCAGAGGACCTGCTGAACAAGACCTGGAGCATGGAGACGGTCAAGTCGGGGAACAAGCAATACAGGAGCGCTCGGGCCGGCCAGGGGCAAGTAAGATGGTCCGAGCCTGGTCTCGCATGGCAGGTCTGGCAAGGAGATGATGTTAACAACTGCAGGGATCCCAGCCCTCCGACCGGGGCTGTGGCGAGTTCTGTGGAGCGGCTCAGGACATGGCTCTCGTTGAAGACCCCAAGTTCAAGGAGGTCGTGTGCACCCTATCTCGGAACAGGGAAGGTTTGCCCCACCCACGCGACACACCATCACTGAGGTGGTCAAGTATGCCTCGAACCAGGGTGCTTTCTTTGATGATTTCAAGGAGGCCACGCCTCATGATGCATGCTGTGTCACTTGGTGTCCACGCTGCAAAGCGTCAATGAGCATGCATTTTCCTGCCGAGCTGCCAGTCACATCTGTGCAGGCATGGGTGAAACTGCAGGAGCTCGGATGTGGTCCGCGACTCGTGTGGCAATCCAGTTTCACTCGACAGATGCTGGGGCACGGATGGGAAATCGTCCCTCGCAGCAGGCCAGCTGCGAGACATCCTCTGAGCAAGGCTGCCGCCTGGTTTTTGGGCAATCTGCCTTTTGCAGGTTGGCCCTCGCCTGACCGCTGAACCGTGCACGTGGCTTGCCATAAACGACGATTCAGCGTAGGATTCTCGCGGGATTCTGGCAGAGCATATGAACAGCAGGAGACACGCGCAGTGGTGCCACAAACACGTGCATGGCCAGCCTTTCACAGGAAAGGCCAGGGCTGCGTATGAGCCAGAGCTTTCCTGACTCAGTACACGAATCGAACGGCATCGCATGTAGCTCATTCTTTAGTGGTCCGAGCAAGTGGCAGACCTCAAAGCATCTTAGGCCTCAGCGTCAAATATTGCAAACACATGTCCTTTTTCAAGAAACTAGGCACAGCCCAGACAGTTCCGAGTCAAGACGGCTTGGCTTGCATTGACAGCAGGCAACCAAGCTCTATGCCCCAGGGCATAGCTCTGAGAGCTTCGGCTCTGCGGTCTTCGGCTTGCGAATCCTGCACGTCGTTTTCCTGCAGGTTGAAGTTGCGGACATGTGGGCAAAGTATTCGCTATATGTTGGCAGCCGCCACATATATGTATGTATGTTGCTCTTCAGAAGACATGCATTCGGGACTCGTGCTTCTCGTCCGCCAGTGAAGGAGACCTGAAAGGATTGCCTTCCAAAACTTTTTCATGGTGCATTGCAAGCATGAAGCATGTGCTCATGCACGTGTTTCTGGAAAGCTTCGACGTGGGACCCGTAAAGGATCCTTATTTGCGGTGCAGACAGTCAAAGCATACTTCACACGAACAAAGCCTAGCCTAGGCTTTCCTCCAGCTCTGTCACTGTATCTCTCTATGTGGAGCATCGCGCATGCCAGACAAGCTCTCTCGCCCCGTCTTTGGCGAGAGGCTGTTCTTCGCACTGTGTTGGCACCTCATGTGCAGTCTGCGGAAAGAGGAGGAGCACTTGCCGAATGTCCAGCATCCTGGTTAATTAGATCCCACGACATCAGGCAAGGGTTGAAGATTGGATAGATGGAAGTACTAGCCCTAGGCCAAGGGTGCACAAGTGCTCATCGCCCGCTGTCATGGACCGAATGCCTTCTGGTGGCATCATCGCATGAGAACGCCCCATGAACAGCCACAGTGAAACTTCGGTGTGACTTGCGGGCCTGGTTCAAAGCGGGTTCGCGGGCAGAGCCGCTGCCTGCGCCGCAGGAGGCTGGTCCGATCATAGTAGAAGCAGCGATTTCTGTCTCTCACACACCCCCAAGTACATGTGTGCACTACACGCACTTGCCCATGTTGCTTCGGAAGGCTCCGTTTTCAAAGACCCAGATAATGGGCAACACTGCGTGCCCTCCTCTGCCGGATCCATGTTAGATGCTGCCTTTTTTGGTGCCGCTGGCTCCTGGCGCCTAGCAGACTGCTGCTAAGGTGCTGCCAGTCCGAAGCCAATGATGGTGTCGCCGATGCGCACGTGGATGCCAAACCCATTCTGGACCGCTTCTAGTTTTTCAGGTCTTGCGAATTTCTCTAGCCTGCCAAAGAGACTCGTCCAGCAAGGCGGTTTCGCAACTGCAGGAAAGTGCGCTGCCAGCAGCACCTTTCATCTCTGGCGGTGATTCAGAACAGGCATGGCAACTTGTTTCGAGCCCTCTCTTGGACATGACGAGACGAAACGGAGCACTTGCAGAGTCGCAGGAACGGATCTATCAGGTGACACTTTCAAAGACTGGCACTTACGATGCGTGCTCGAGCACATCAGGGACTTGAATTGCCATCTCCGAGGTCACCGGGACAGAAGCTAGGTCTGGACGTCGACTACATGGCAGAGCAGCGCCCCGAGAAGCGTTAAACGGAAGCCTTGTGGAAACCCTTGGACTGCACTGCACGGCTACAGGCGGAAGATTCTGCCCATCATGCACGTCACTGGCGGCATTGCCGAGTGACACCCCCGGTTCAGTAGGATCGATTGGGGTCTGGGTCATACCTTAGCAGTGCCATGTAGCAGAACATGTCAGTTAACACATTTGGCCGGCTCAAAGGGAATGGAACAAGAAGTACCCGGACAGGAAGCTGAACAGTGGTGCTGCTTGGCCGGTGATGGCTAGATTAGAAGCTAGAAGATGAATGCGGTGCAGCCTGCCGGAGCTGAGGATAGCATACTGGAAGTGAACGGCATTTCAGGCTGGTGGTAAAGTGAGACTACACAGCTTGAGCGCTTCATGACTACAGCCAGGGGATGTCGTAGAGATGCTCGAGAGATGCAAAGCTGACGACACGCTCAAGCTCTGTCCTCGTTTCGGAAGCAAGGTTTTCAAGTTCTGACTGCTTGAAGTGATCCTGGCCCCGATGATACACAACGCGACTCTCCGACATCCTAGGATGAAGCTGTGCCGATGCCTAACTTACGATCACTTGGTCGCGATCTCAAGTCCGGTAGTTTTGGTCGGTTGACTTGAACCTACTTCCTGTTCGCTTTCTCAGGTAGAGGATTTGGAAAAACTTATCCGGAGAAAAGACTGCGGGCCGATAATGCGCGGCCCTCTGCATCCGGCTAGGGAAGCTGGTCGAAAGATTTCAGAAGCCGCAGTTGATAAGATTTGAAAGTGCAGGTTGCGAGGTTGGAGGAGCTGTTGACCAGGGATGGCTCTTTGATTAGTGGTTCCAGTGTCGGCTGTCTGCATCTGGTCTCTCGAACGCACGAGGTCCAATCTACGGGTTTGATGAACACGCTTTCAACCTGTGGGACCTCGGTTGACTAAGGGTGCGGCTTTCTTGGCACGATGCTGGCATCTACAACGGTGCCGCCCAATGCTTTGCCCGGAGATTTGCTTTGATGTGTTGCAACTGGGTGACAGCTGTGGACATAGAATGTAGGCTTCGCACACTTTATGATGTTGCCGGAAACCTGCAACTTGTTGAATTTGCAGAGTCTGTTCTTCTACTTGCCGCCTGTGGCTGCACCTGTCATCCGTCGAAGCAACGACACTTTCTGGGATAACAGAGTCAGAAACCTGAATGAAGAGATCCAGTGGGGCATTTCAATCCCATTTCTTGGAACGTGAAGCCGGCTCTCTCAAGCGTGCCGTGCTGTGCAGGTGCTGATGGCTGCCCGAATGCCGCGATGCGCCTGCCTGGTGGTTGGCTAAAAGCTGCTTCGTGTTCCAGCATGTCAGAGCTTCGTTTACAAATGTTTGACTTTGTCAAGGAGGAGGCGAGCATGCGCTTGCAGCGAATGCTGGATTGCTTGAGCCCCAGTTCCTACCTGTGGTTAGTCTTGCCGCAAAGCAACAGGCAGCAAGACATCACCAGCTGAGCTTCCTTAGCTGCTTGAGCGGTTGCTGGCGTTAAGAGCTGTTCGCGGATGGATTCTGCAGCTGTCTGCAACTTCTCCTTGCAATGAGTGCTCTGTGAAGTGCAAACGTGGAGGCCGCAGGTCGCGATTCCGCTATTAGAACCTATCGCAGCCAAGTGCGCCCCCTGCGCCCTCTATCTCTATCTTCTGTGGAGAGAGGAGCCCAGAAGGCTGCTACTCCATTCTTGTGCCGTGAGTGGGGCTTCGCTCGCAGTACCTGCCTGAGGTACGTGCCGCGAATGATCTCCCATGCAGATCTGTGGGCACTGGCTGCCAACGTGGCAATCAAGGCCGTACAAGTTCGTGATAGGAGAATAAGAAGACGGACGCTAAACAGCAATTGTTTACGGCAGCCTGCGACGTTTGAAGAGGTGATGGGAGGTCCAGAACTCACCACTCGCTTTGGACGCTTAGATGCGGGGGGCTTCGCAATCCCAAACATGGCGGCTGCAGCACATGGCTACTCGGTGGCACGGCAGACATCACACTATCTGAGGCCGAACGTGTCGGCGATGGTGCATCCTCAGCGACGGGACGGCTTCCGGACCGCCGGGAGAAAGCCAGCCTGAATCAAATCCGGCCCTGACACAGATGCAAGTTCAATCTGCCGACTGTAGCATGTTGTAGTCAATTGTAGTCTGTTGAGTCAGATCACCTAACGCAGGCATTGAAGATGTGTTGCCTACCATGTGCGAACAGCCAGTACTATGCGACGCGTCTTGTGGCTCTTCAGGACGGTGACAAGGATGCGAGACATCTGCGAGACATTTTCTACCCCAAGGCTGGCCGCCAGCGCTCCGCCCCCCCCCCTCTGCTTTCAGTGCTGATGATCCTCCGCCATCCTTTCAACATCTGCCTTCCAGGGGTTCGATGACAAAGCGATCGTCGCTCTTTCTGGGGCTCACACTGTCGGGTCAGCTGCGCAGACGTTCACAGCATTGGGCATCTACTGTTGCATCGTGCTTAGCCTCAACTGCATAAGCGCACTGTGCAAGGAGCTGTCATCTGGACCGCTCTGGTTTCGATGGAGCTTGGACAGCAGCCTCGGTCTCGGCACACACCATGTAGACTATGATCGCGACCTCAGCCCTGCGCTCGCCAAGCGTATAGCCCCGCATCACTTCCAGTGCTTGCACGCCATCACACACTTCGGCCCCTGAGGACAAGCTCAAGTTTGACAACTCATACTTCAAGGTCCTGCACATTATGCTCAACCTTGTCTTAGGCATTTTTCTCGTCCGCAAACGGTGAAGGTTGTTCGAGGCAGTCGCCGTTCCGAGTGCATTGGTAGCCTTGCAGGACTTGATGCACAGAAGTTGGTCGTCCGAGACCACTAGCAAGGGGAACCCACAGTTCAGGCAAGGAGGACTGTATGCAGTGCCGAAGTTGTTACGGCAGGTCAAGGGGTGTCAAGCAGTTTCAACTGTCCCAATGTGTTTCTGTCAGGTGCGCAGAGTCCAAGACGATGATGCTGACCACGGTAATGGTCTCAGTCATGTTATGAGAGATTCCGCGACTTACCACAACCTACCTTTACTCCATTGCAAGAAAGCAACTCTAGATTCGTGCGTTTGCACCGTGGATGATCAACGCCAGCCATGTACTACCGGATTCAAAACTTATGTCGTCTTTCAGACATGCACATGCGCCTATGTATGAATGCTCTTTGTTCGGAATCTGAGATGGCAGGTGTATGAGTATGTCAATGTGTGCATTGGTGCCCTTCGCCTTTCTCCTTTCCCGTGTCTTAAGGACATGGCACTTGTCAACGACCCTGACTTCAAAAGGTATGTCGGACACTGACGTCAGTGGCCGCGTGTGTGACCGCTGTCAGAAAGGAATTGCTTCGCTGATGCCGGCTGCGAAGCAAAGGTCATTCAGTTCGCCGATGACCAGAAGTCTTGGTTTTCGGAGTTCGACAAGGTGCCACCCCAACATGAGAGGGAACCTTTCATGCAGTGCAGCACATGCCGAGACAAGACTTGAACTTGTCTGCACTCGTTCCTCAAAAAGCTTGTGCGGGCAGTGGAAATGTGCGCATTCCTGCCAACATCTGCTGTTTCGGTATCCACGCCAGGCTTGGGTACGTTTGCAAGAGCTTGGCTGCAGTGCAAAGCTCAGTGAATGAAACCTGTCATCCTCATCGAAAGCACGAGAGGAACTGAGAGTAAGACCCATTGACCACCTGCATGATTCGTTTGCCGACTTTCTGCTCCAAGGCGAGTTGCGAGATGTCCTCTGAGAGTCAGCCCGAAACAGATGTTTCAATGTTTTTTGAGCATTGATGAAGGTCAGCCACAGTATCCAAGCATGCAAAGAAAGGCTTCTGCTGCAATTCGTACGTTGTGGTGTAGCGGGCAGAGCCACCTGAAGCGGTCACTTTCCCTTTTTTGGACTACTCGACGCAACCGTCTCCGAAAGAGAGAGGGGGCTTGTGCACACAAATGTAGCGCATTTTACTCTGTGTACCATCGGAGCATTGCGCAACAGCCGCAACAGCCGCAAAAGTTTCGTAGTCGAGTTTCACCCCAGATGCCCTCTGAGACCCATGATCTAGTTCATTCGTGGTGTCATGCATTTAGCTACTACATAGGTGCACATGAAGCGATGGCATCTGTTTCTAAGCGTACGGCTTACCTGCCTAAGTCCGCCCGACATGAATCATTGTTTGTTTGGGCAGGTGGCGTGGCTCAGGTGAATAGGCGACAAGCATAGCAGGCGGCAACCCAAGTTGATCGAATTGCTCACAATCAAAGTTACGGTATGCCATCTCAGGCGACGCCTGTCCGAATTCAGGTGGTTTCTGACAAAGCCGCGAAACCCACTGACAGCTCATTGGTCCTACCAGGACCCGAGCGACCAGCAAAAGTTTCCGATGGTGCAACAGCTCTTATGTAGAGTGCCATGGACCAGTTGCGTTGCAATCATTTGCTACTTGCTGGCCTCATCGCAGCTGTCGCAATCTGTTATTGCGGGATGCTTTCAAATCGGGAGCATGGCAGCCGGCATTCCAAGCATGCGCCAGCCAGCTCGATATCTGTTCGCATGGGTTCTGCCAGACTTGACTAGATCCAGCAGGCTTCAGTCCCACAACCTTCAAGTTGGTCAGAAAACGGCTGGGGCAGGGAAAGGAGCAGGGATACAAGAAGATAGCCATGCAACATGGTACTTCGCCGCTGCGCGCTGGCTGGGAGAGGATGTGCGTTCCCAAGATGCTCTATCAGCAGCCAGGGTGTTTGCTCCAGGGTGTTCGCTGCTCAAGGGCATCTTCCTCCCTCTAAGCAGGACAGCTTCATCACTATAAGAAGCATCATCTGCAAGTAAGGCAGCGCATCAGTCTTAGGCTTCGAGCTTGTGCAGACTGTCCCGACTTGCACACGCACACGCACACATGCCCACAGACGGCCAGACAGACAGCCAGCCAGACAGCCAGACAGCCAGACCGCCAGACAACCAGACAGCCAGCCAGGTCCCATAAAGCGAAGAGAAGGAGCCGTGTGGCTGAATACCTTATGGCTGAAAGAGTCAGAAGGGGAGAGAGAGAGAGAGGGATAAGCTCCGCTTCAGCACAAACCAGAACGGATCCCCAATCAAGGACTGCCTCCGATCGAGGCCAACACGGTGCCTTGACGGAAGCCGTTGTAAGCATACTCTCGACAAGTTGGGCGCATTCTTGGTTGGATCCCGTTTCAAACAAACATACACCGCAAGCAACAAAACAACACACAACACAACAACACAACACACAACAAAGCAGGTCACTCACCTACATCCCCACCCCCATTGCGACAACCCTCAGTGGGGGAAGGATCCCAGTACTTGTGATCCTGGGTGTTGGTTTCCCTTGCTGCCGCAACAGTCTTGAAGGCGAAATTTCGAACAGCCGACCTACTGCATCAAGAAAAAGCTTCAATGCAAACGTTGGAGTGTGACCTCCCTGAGTTCATGACCGAGGATCGCTCACACAAACAATCAAACAAGCAAACAAGCAACAAGCAAACAAGCAAGCAAGCAAGCAAGGAAGCAAGCAAGCAAGCAAGCAAACAAACAAACAAACACACGAACACACAAACCCACAAAAATACAAACACACAACCACACAAACAAACACAAACAAACACAAACAAACACAAACAAACACAAACAAACAAAAACAAACACAAACCAACACAAGCAAACACAAACAAACACAAACCAACACAAGCAAACACAAACAAGCGCGTGCGCGCACGCGCGCACGCACGCACGCACGCACGCACGCACGCACGCACGCACGCACGCAAGCACGCAAGCACGCAAGCACGCACGCACGCACGCACGCACGCACCCACACACACACACACACACACACACACACCCACCCACACCCACACCCGCCGCATTGGATCAAGCACGTGAAAAAGTCACGTCCTTTTTCCTGATCTTTTCGAGCTTCTTGGCGAGGCTCCTTGCTCACAGTCCAGCTCGGTTTTGCGAATCTCGTCCTCGCAGTGATCGTGGAGCGTGCGCGGCAGGCGTGGTGATGGTTCTACAGCTTTAGGAGACATCATGTTTCGAGGATGAAGCAACATGAAGCACCAACACAGAGACAGAACTCTGGGGACCTTCGGGCAGCTGCACGACATAGTCTGGTCGTAGTGCAGGACAAGCATGGCTCCAATGGCCTGCAGCAAGCTTGCCCTACTTCGCTGTTTGACAGTCTTGCTTCTCCTGACTGCGCCTCCGGTCTTTGTCGTCTCCGGTCTTTGTGAGCTGCGACCTTTCGCTGCAAGATCCGAGCTCCTTCGAGATGCGCCAGCTGTGCAAGTAGCTATCGATCAGGGCCGATCCCGAAGTAACCGCGAAAGCCTGGGGGTCCTTGTGAGTATTTTTTGGACGCCTCGGAGGCCCACGAGGAGGAGCAGCGCCAGAACCTGAACGAACAGCCCGGATCTCAGAGCCCAGTCTCTTCGAGGATTTCTTGGTAAAGCGGTGCTCTTCCAAGCTGGACCTGGGCCCCCGAGGGTGAAGAAGCGTCGAGATGCAGAGAAGAGACTCCTGGACATGTGCAAAGCCATTGATGTGGATCAAGACGGAAGCTCTGCCCCGCATTTATGCCGGAGACGTGTGGGCTCTGAGGGATACTGCAAGGGGCACCATAAGGGTAGAGGCTAGGGGCTAGTGGTTGCCAGTGTTAACACAGCCATAGTTCCCCCTTCTCATCGCCAGCACCATTACCTTCATCGATCGCCTGTCTTTGCATGATAGTCGTCATATCCGGGGCATCCAGTCCCGGATGCATGTTACCCGACTCTTACCCTTACCCAGACAGCAGACATGCGATTTCAGACTCTCGTGCGTGAGTCGAGATTTTGGACCCCCAAATCCTCAAAACACCAGCCACCTCTGCACATCGAAGCATATCGAAGCCTAAATCCCGAACTCCATCCGACACCCGTGGAACGCCAGGCCTAAGATTCCCCAAGCCTCCCCGGAGCACAGGAATCCTGACCCTCGAAGAGCTCATGGATGCGTATGTCGAGAATGAGGAGAAGAAGCACTGGGGAAGGCGGTTAAGGAAGGTAAAAAAACATCAAGAGTCAGGAAGATTGGTGGTATGAACAGTTGTAGTAGGCCATTCTTTCGGGGTTGCGAGAGTGATCGAGGACTTCCGGAAGACGCTGACGCTTTTGGAGATCGACGAGACTGACCTCCTTTGCTTGTTCGACTCTCCCCCGCTATCAGAACGGTGCTCTTCTAACCCGGACCCCAGTTAGACTCTCAGAATCCGCTATTTCCACAGGAGCAGTTCTCTAAATAGGGTCCCTTTCGAGGTCCCCAGTATTATAGTTTGGCACCCTGATAAAAAGACCCGAAAAGGGAGCCTATTTTGGAAAACTACCCACAGGTAGTTGGGCTGTTGTTGACAGACTCTGATGAAATTCTAGCTGGACAGAACCTGTCCCATTACACTCTCCGACTGTACCAGTCTGCTCGAGGACCACGGCAGCAGCTGCCTAGGGGCTTAGTATGGCCGTCAAACGGACGAGTTGAGATTGTACTTGGTTGTAGTGCTACTGTTATGTTTTGCGATGCTGCGGCGTTCCACCTCATTCGTGACATATGATGTTGCCATTGCTTTGTCTTTTGGCAGACGGTCTAACGTACGGCTCAGCTGAGGACTTGATGGACGCAGATAGATCCGGTGATCTGACCTACGAGGTCGGTGCACACAAGTGTCGCGCTGTTGGGTTTTCTATTGTGAGAAGGCAGTAGGTGAAATGCGAGTGGGCTGTTTATGCGCGATGAGGTGTGCCGTCTGTGCTGACGGCTCATGAAACAACAAGCTTTGAGTGTCGACGCTGAAGCTCAGAGCCCAATGCCACAGAGCAGTGCGCCCGCTTGGGAGGAGATGATCAGCTGCATCCACAAGTCCGAGACGAACGACCTGAAGCGTCAGATGATGATGGTAAAGCTTCAGGCCAGGTTTCGCAGTCTGACCGTTTTTGTCGATCCAAGCCGAGTCTCAGACGCTCTTCTTTCCGAGGTGCAGGACATCTGGCTCCGAATTCGAGACACCTTCCTGACGCAGCAGGAGGACATCATCCGGGAATTCAAAGGGGAGGCCGGATCTCCGACAAATCCACTAGGCTTCGAAGGTCATAAAGTTGCAAGAGCTACGGGTTTAGGGTTTAGGGTTTTAAGGACAGAACAGGTTTGCACGTATGAAGTCTCTTTGCAAGGGAGGTAGATGTGCGCAGCTCTCGAACCGCCAAACTTCTCTGTTTTTCCTCGCAAGGCCTTCATGTTGGATCTCTTTGAGAACCTCCGGAACCCAAACCCTCTACTCCCGAAGCCTACGCGTCTCTAAGGTGCGAGGCCCTGAGATCTCCAAAAACCCGAGAGCTTCCTTTGCCGAGCTCTTGCCTAAAGCGCGACTTCTCCCCGAACCAAGCGAGAAGACCCCAGATGCGATGATCCCACTCGCAATCGCTGAAAACCAAAAGAATCAGTGCAAGCATGTTAGCAATGCTTGCTGTGTTCGCACATAGAGAGGAAGATAATAGACAGACAGACCGACAGACCGATAGATATCATGCTTTGGGTGGCTGTCTATGGACTAGGGCCCCAGCACAGCATGCCCCGAAACCTCCCAACGGGATAAATGCCCGGTGCATTGGACGAGTCAAATTCGAAAGAAGCCTCCAAGCCCAACAGATGCACATCATCACTCAACAGCAGAAGGACTCCATAATTGTAAGCGCTTCGCGTCTTCCGCCTCGGCCCGGCCGCAAAATAAAGAGGGCCGTCGACTTGCTCAGCTGTTTCTTATTGGCAGGAGAGGGGGGGAAGGAAGGGGGGGGGGGTAAGAGAAGAGGAGGGGAAACAAGGAACCTCTGACATCCTCTGACTGCTTCGGCCGGGGGCCTAGGCGACGAGGGTTACTTTAGGGTGCGCTGATTCCCAGATGACGAAGCCTTCGCTCTTCGACTCCCGAACGTACCTCATCAGAAAGCTGACGGGCGAGAATGCCACGAGGCCTCTGAGAACTCTGGGGTTTTGGGGGGGGGCTTTTTTTGTTTTAAGGCTGTTGGCTACTATAGGCTTTAGAGAGAGAGGGGCTCAGGGCTCAGGCCTCATGTTGCACCTGGCTGAAAGTCCTGTCTGGGCCTGTGAGCCGCATCCTTGCAAGCTCTGTATCGCCAACAGGGTGGACGACCGAAGAGAAGCGCGGAGGCTAGAAACGGAATTCTGTCGAAACCCACAAAGATCAATGACAGACTCCTTCAAAAGATCTTGGGCTCCGTCCCTGGGTGCTCCGACTGCAGTTTAATGCGGCGGACCCGCACGGTGCAGTCGCGCCTCAGCGAGGCCTATGAACGGGCTCAGGCGCACTTGTGGACTTTTGTGGAAGTCTGTAGGTTTGCAGTTTGGATTCGGTTCGGGCCATCAGGGCCACAAGGCAAGGGTGAGCTGGATTGAGACGGTTGTAGCCGCGTAGCCCTCCAGAGCGCTGGTTCGCATTCTACTAGTAGCTGACTCTAGCTGTCGCTGCCATTCCATATCATTGGCGTTAGTTTTGTGTAGCGTGACTGCTTGTGCGACTGACAGGTGCGTGGAAGGCGTGGGATGTAGCAGGGGACGCAGAGAGTAGGAGCCATGGTCCATTGATGCAACACACCCTGATTGCCGGAGTCCATGCGGCAAGCGTCTTCTACCCTGGCCGCGGCACAAGCTGCGCCACCGCCGTCGATGTTGCAGACAGATGCTCGGCCAGCGGCAGTCGTGCGGAGACATGATTGGAGGGATCAGGGTTCAGGCTTTCGCCAGGGTGAGTCCAGTCGGCTCGGTGGGCTTTGCATCTCGTCATTGATCCTTTGCATCTTCATTGCTGTTACTGCTGCAGCCATCACCGATGCTTTGGTCGTTGGAGCTTGCAGTCGTGGCTGCGATTACGGCGGTTGGCGTCGGGTTGGGTGCTTCAGGCCCAAATTGCCGTAATAGTCAATATCTGTGCATGTACATGTCTTTTTATGTAATTATCTGTATCTATCTCTGAATCCATATCTGTACCAATATCTAGATTCTAGATGTGCATGTGTCCTCAGGAATACACGAATCGACGCCGAACGATAAGACAAGCAAGGCGATGCCCTCTGCAATCGCCTGTTCCTGCTAGCCGAGGAAGCTGGGACGGAGTTGTCTGCCTCAGTCTTTGCTATCAGGCGTGGTTCGAGCTGTGGCTTCGTGTGCTAGCTTCTGCCTGATCCTCGTGCAACCGCGAAGCGCGAATTTCTTTATAGCGAGCAGCGTCACTTCCTCGACAGGCCGCAGCGCACACTTTCCTGCTATTCGTCGTTGATGCCTTTTCTTTTCAAAGCCGTCGAAGGGCGCGGCCAGCTTAGAGCTAGGTGGAGGGAGCATTGGCCATGGGCTGCGGAGCAAGCACCGGTTCCCCGAGAGGCCGCACTCCGGGAATTGGAGCGATGGTGCGCTCACAACCCTCATCCCTGAGCCCATGCCTGCAGGTGTGCTAGAGTCCTATCTAGAGTCATCAGGGTACTTGCGATTTCTGGTGAGGCGCAGGTCCATGACTTGCACTGCCGTTTGGCGACTATCAGAATCACCATCAGCACCATTGATGACAATCATCGTCTTCATCTTTCTTCAACAGGGCGACAAGACGGACGCAAGCAAGCCCAGCGCGGCCGATGCGAGGCCTAGCTAGGTCCCTATATAGGTCCTACAGTTATTCCAGTTCTTGCGTATACCTTGAGTCTGAAGACTCAGTCTGCGAAGCGACTGAATCGTGTGTTCCGTGCCAGCTCTGGGCCTGGTTCCCCCGTTTCGCCTTGAACTAAGCCGAAGAGCCCCCAGTTCTGCGCCCTCCATGGAACGTTCCCTTGCAGACGCATGGCCGGCCGTCGCCGAGCCGGTCCAAGGACACGGACTTCGGCGCCTTGGGCCGGTGGATCCTACCAGCGAAGTTCGGAGAAGCCTCAAAAGGCCATGGATTGGCTGTGTTTGGTTATCTTTGAGTCTTTGTCACAGCCCAGGCACAAGATAGGCAGGATACCCAGAAGATCAGAAAGCCCATGGGCAGCATGCGTAGATTCCGCACACGACCACTGGCAGCACCAAATCAACGATGGTCGTATGCCTGTTGTCCTGGAGCAAAGAGGACCAAGGCTTCCAGCATGTTCCAGCTACGCAAGCGGGATACGGGCAGAATTCACGATTTTCCCGACAGCTTCGGAGTGCCTCCAATTTGGAATCGAGTTTTCTCGACAGCGATCGGCGATTGGATCATGCCTCTGAGGATCCGGAAGCCACTCAAAAGAACCGCCAAAGTGCACGACCTGGACATGAGCGCGATCCTTCCTGATAAGAGCCTGGAGCAGAAGAAGTTGTACATGTATTTATCTGCTGGCCTTGTGTGCATGTTGTATGTCTCTGTCCTGTCGATAGTCTCTTCACCTTTGTCTGCTCGCTTGTCTGTGTGGCGAGCAGTCTTTCTTCATATCCTCGTGGACACCTGTCTCGTGGCTAGGTGTAAAGCAGGCTCAGAGGTTGTCCTGCTAGCAGCTGCACATGGAGCAGCAAAGTCTCCGTGCTTCCTGGCTGCTCAGGACCCTGGCGACAAGCCAGGTGCATCTCAGAGGCACTCACGGAGGAGTTCTAGGGAGTTGATAGGTGCAGGATGCCAAGGCGCCCGGCTGCTAGCTTCCTGAACAAGCATAGCTCAGTTGAGCAGCTGCCGCCATGTTCCTTCATGCCATGTCATGTTCTAGCTCGAGTCATGATTGCGTGCTCAATGGCAGGATATGGCGGCCGGTCCTAAGGCAGAAGACCACAAAGGCTGATGACTTGGCGGCCGTGCAGCCTGACGAATGCCAAGAAACAGCCGAGGCCGCCAGGCTTTGCGTGGTGATGTCAGAGGCGGTGATAACTGTACTGTGTCGATGATCATGTTGACAATTGCGGAACGCCAAGAAGCGACACGCTGCAAACAAAATAGCAGCAAGGAGCACCGAGAAACGACCCGCCGCAAACAGGATGGGGGCAGAGAGCACCACGAAACGGCACGTTGCAAACACGATACACCGGAAACGACACGCTGCAAACGGGACAGGGACAGAGAGGACCAAGAAACGACACCCTGCAAACAGAAAAGGGGCAGGAAAGGGGCAGAGAGCATCAAGAAACGACACGCTGGGCAGCAAACCGGAAGCGACACGTTGTGCAAAGTTATAGGTGCAGAATGCACCAAGAAACGAAACACCGCAAAAAGGACAGGCACAAAGACCAAGAAACGACACGTTGCAATCAGGATAGGGGCAGAGAGCACCAAGAAACGACATGGTGACATTGTGCAAAGAGGAAAGGGGCAGCTTGTATCGCAATGCTAGCTAGTTGTTCTTGTTGCAGCAGCAGGAGCATGAAATTCAGTGGGAGCTGAAAAGCATGGAAAGCAGGGGCAGATAGCAGGCAAGATGGACATGGTCTTCGTCAAAGAGTGCTCTCGGAAGCTCATGATTAGTCTTCATGATCTTCACATCGCCCTCCACTTCGCAGCTGTTGCCGGGCGCAGCTTACAGGCCCACTATGACGTTGAGGAGTTCGAGATCGAGGCCCAGCCCTGGTCTTCCATGCGATCGGAGGACGTCAAGGCCTCCGAATGGTCGGCTTGTGGCCGGTGGACTTCGGAATTTAGGCCTAGACACTGGTATACAATGAATCATATGAACATCAGTTGCGTTGTGATATCAGCTCTCACAGTCTTCGGAGATCTGACAGAGTGTCCCGCCTTAGCTTTTGATTTCTTGTGGTACGAAGACCCCAAACCCTTAAACCCTAAAAGCCCCAAAAACACTAAAAACCCTAAACCCTAAATCTGAAGAGCTGCAGGCGACTCGCAACAACCGGTTTCCTTCGCCGCCAGATCGGCGCCTGCACGAGCAGCACCTGAAAAAGATGGACGCTGGGCAGGGTTTAGGGGTTCAGGGGTGTAGGGGTTTAGGTTCGATGGCCGGTCTCTAAGCAGGCTGCTTCCGAGGGTTCGTGTTTTTTTTGCAGCTTTTGCATTGCGATTGAGCTTCCATTCCGGTCCTGAAAGTGTGAGGACACCATGAGAGTCGCAGTGTAGACCCTCGCGCATTGCTCTAGAAACCCAACTCCTTACACACAGGTGCCTGGCTCGCCCGCTATTCTAGTGCATAGGCTCAGAGAAGTTCAGAGAGAGACAGAGGGACAGAGAACAGCCTGCACTGAGGCTTGTTGTTCGGGCTGGACACAGGAAGGTAGGTGGGTAGTTTCAGTGAGCACCAACCCCGCAGCGGGGACACATTGGGAACCCAGATTGGCGCCTCTGTGTCCTTGTGTCTGTTGCAAGACCAAGCTGTACCCAATCTTCCGCAGCTTGGCCGGCCAAAGCGTTGCCCCATGCCCTTGAGCAAAGCGAAGAGAGGGAGCGAGAGCACTCATCATCAGCAGCATCATCATCAGCCATAGCAGGCATCAGCATCTTCATATCGGCATTGGTCTCCTCCACTGCACACATCGTCATCAACATTTGCAACAGCACCAGCTCCGACGTTTTCTCGAGATCATGACTGCAGCGTTCTTCCGAGGACCGCCTGCAGGATGACCTCACGATGGATCCGCACTTGTTTGAGACCCTCGTTCGGAACAGGTGCGTGCAACCGCGAAGCGTGGGAGGTGAAGTCGAAACCTGCCATCAGAACTAGGAGGGGTAACCGTGGTACTGGCTGACAGTCCTTGATTTCGGCTCACTGCGACAACTATGCCAAATATGCATACTGAGCATAGACGGCAGGTCTTTCAGTGCTCTTTTGCGAGTTGTTTGCAGAAGCCCGGTCCAGGCGTTGTATTGATGGACTCACTATGGGCAGCTGCATCCCGTCCAAAGGCTGGCGATGGGACGTTTAGGATACGCAACATTCTGCATTGCCGCGATCCACCTATCGCCACATGAGCACAGGGTCATCACATGAAAAACATTTGGTATTGCGGATGCAATCAAGACGTCCCGTCTACGGCCAAAGCACGCCAACTTGACAGTCACTTCTTGCTTCAACTGCGACCAATCGTGACAGCTGGCAGGCATGCACGCAGACGCCCAGGACAACGAGTTCCTGAAGTACATCAGCCCATGAGTTCCCATTGTTATGAGTGTCAACCGGGCTTCCCATGCCAATGTTTTCAGAAGGGGACGCCGTGGACGGTCCGCAGCGTCCTCTCCTTCCCATTTTTTATGCCGTGCCGACATGCGATCCCGGTTCTCGGTTCAACGACCCCGCCCTCCCCCCCCCCCCCCCCGGCAAAGGGGGAGGGGGAATCATTAGGGGGGAGGGGGGCGGCGGCCGCACCGGCATAGATACTGATGATGGTCGATTGAAAGCATAGTTAATCGTCAAGCTTCAGCCCGCATCGGAGGATCGGTGCTCGCACACTGAATGTGTGTTCATCGGTTGCCATTCTTGGCAAATTTTCCGGAGATGCCAGATCAGCTTGGCAGCTTACACCGGGACCGTGGCTCCCTTAGCAGCCAGGCAATTTCATTGAATCTAATCAGTTGGCCGGAATTTGTCTCGGATTTGAGATTGCAGTCGCGTCTCTCGTCTGAGGATATCAAAGTGGCGGTGGGAATTCCGAAATCCTATTGGTAGGAGAGCCGCAGAAAGAAGTCAGTTCGTGCTCACCCCGACTGCGATGGCTACTACTGTATGATAAGCGTATCTAGGCCCTGCCCGGCAGAAGCCGCCGTCGTGCTATCAGCAGAAGAAAACCGAAGTCGTAGTCACCAACAACGGCAGACTGCAATTTGTCCCAGCAACTTGAGGTTACCTGACCCATCCTCCGCTGCACTGCAAGGGAGCATCCCCTTTGCCCACTCTTCCCACTTTGCTGGCACAGGTTTCACTCATTTTTAGTTCACAAGGCCAAAACACGCGACCTTGAAAGGTGGGGCAGACAGAGCCCTGGGATCCCACAGACATCCGAGCCCTGGGCAGAGTCGGCTCTCCGGAATTCTGCGGATCTCGAAGCGTGTCAACAGTTTTGCCGTGTGGCCTGCACTGCCTGCACTTGTCGCAAGGTGCAGTGCTCTTCCCAAGGCCCAGGTCTGGCCTCCTCCTCCAAGACAAGCACGGAGTGTTGCCTTTGGAAAGGACATGAAGGGGTCAGTTGAATGGTTCTTCTCCGATCATTTTTCTGGTTGCGAAAGCGCTGGAGATCCGGTGCTTAGAGCGACTCGAGGCTTCGGTCACTGAGAGATTGGCGCAGTGGCGGCTCAGTTTCTGGGAGCTGACTTCTGTTCCTTCTGCCAAGGGGGATTACTTAGGAAAAAAAGCACCGCAGCTGCTTGAGGATCAAGTCTGGGAGCTTCAGAACCCCAGGGCCCCAAACTGGATCCCGAAAAGTAGAGCACCTATACACGATTTGGGTTTTTTTTCGGGTTTAGGAGTTGAGCTTACATGGGATTTTAGAGACCTTTGGCTTCGAGTCTTCGAACCCGAGCCCCCCAAGGCGAAAGCAGAGTTTGAGGGTTCTTTTTTTTTTTGGGGGGGGGGGGGTTTAGGGTACAATAGAGGGGCCTCAATAGTTACCTGTAACAGTTTAATGGGGTTCCTTATTATGATTCTAGCATAGTGGGCCCCAAAACCCGTTTTTAATTATTATGGCCCCTACATGATGGGAGTCACGGGTAGCCCAAAGCCCCTAAACCATCAAGGGCTGTGCTTTGCATGCGAAGCAGTCGGCGACAAGTCACCTTCCCGAACAGAAGTCCCGGGTGTCTGCCGTCTCCGCAAGTCCCGCACGAAGCCTGACAGAAATGGCTGAAAATGATTGAGTGTCTGGCCGAAGCCTACTCTTAGGCTCTTTCTTCGCCAGATACCATCACAACGGCATGCAGGGACCTCTGGGGGAGCCTCGAGTGAAAGAGGGTTGCACTTATGGGCCCATCATTTCGGGATTTAGAGCATGGACCTACGCACCGACACGCATCGAAAGCGCCAAGAGGCTGGATTCAGGGCTTCGGATTCAGAGCACCAGCGTTTAAAGGTACGCATCCTAGACTAGACCCCGCAAGAGGTTGTCAGGGTGAGGTTTGCATGAAAGGAGTGCACCTCAAGACCCCTGGTTAGGCCCTAAAACCCTCTTCCCTTCACCCTGAACCCTAAATCGCGAACATCGAAACGGCAGCCGAAGGATTCGGGATCCCTTTGCAGAGGCTTCCTCCCAAGTGCCTTGTGAGTTTTGCTTTTCCATCCGCCGCTTGCAGAAAGTCCAGAGCATCCAGGTGTGCTTCGACACTCCTGCTCCCTGACTTCTGCGCGGCAACATGCTCCGATGAGTCTGCCTGATGGCTAGTTCTCTAAATTTGGGTGCCTTTTTAGGTCCCCAGTATAGTATGGCACCTCCGATTTGTTGGGTCTGCATGTACTCGGTTGGAGTACAGGCAGGCTCCAAAAGGGCTCAACAAGGGCCTGCCTCGATCACGGCATCAGGGTGCTTTTTGTGGCGTTTTCTCCGGTTGATCAGCTCACAGCGATTACTATGCATCCTACAGTTTCCAGCTCCGTGCTCGAAGGGACGGACTTCGGTTCACCCCAACCGCTTTACATGACCGAGTGTGCTACTCGTGCTGTGGTCGCTGGGCCGAGCTACCGGACGTCCGGACAGCCCTCGCGGCCCTTTGCAGCCATGTGGAAGCATGGCGGCGATTCCCTCTGTATTAGCCGGCTCGACTGCTTTGTTTCTGCATGCATGGATCCACGGAACTGGAGAGAGCATAACGCGCAGTTGCAGTGATTTGGGCTCCTTCAAGAAAGACTGTGTGAGTCTTTCGCGGGGGTGTGCGTCCAATCCACTGTCGCGGATGTCAGAGCTACTCAGAGGGAGTTGCATGTTTTCCATTGTTTTCCCCAAGACTGCGCTTGCACCCCTGGTGCTGGGTTGAAGGTTCCAGGGTCATGACGCCTTGCAGTAAGCCCCAAGAGTGAGGTAACGCTTCAGTCAAAGCATTCCGTTGTCTTTGGGTCACGGACGGCACCAATCTCTGTGTGGAAATCATCTTTTTGGCTTCAGCAACGGATCGATTGCCGAGCCGCCATGAGTGAGATGCATGTGGAGAAATCATTGCTTGCGCCATTGATGTCTCGACAGGGTATTTGCTGGGGAGTCTTCATTCTCGTTTTTTGCATGAATTCATGAGCCTTTCCCGTTCTTCAGGCTCATATTCGTTCAGATGTCTCCTGCAGTGCTACTGCTACACCTGTGTGCTCAGCAAACCAAGGATTTTTCAGTCGACCATGAAATCAGAACTAACAGCCACACACACACGACATAAACTGCCGTCCTTGCCGTGGCTCCAACCCTCTCTGATTCAAACCCCGGGGAGATCAGGGCAGCTAGACAAGCCTGGGAGTTGTCACTGCGACGACTGTCTCTTACTATTATAATTATTATTGCTCGTACTTACTATTGCCATTACAGTCTAGTACTAGAAGTATGACATGACCATGACAACTACGATTACGATTACCACCACCACGACCAGCTAAGGCCGTCGTCATTGCTGGTACTCGTATTACTCCATAGTTTCTTCCACGCTTCCCTAAATCCCTAACCCCAAAGACCTAAAGCGCTGAAGCCCTAAACCGTGAGGTGACACCAAAAAAGCAACGACACCCTCAGTTCCAAGCTCGCCCATGCTGTTCCAGGCAGCTTCGACATCACATCAACGCAGAGCTGCAAAGGACTGCAGTCTTGCAGAATTCGGAGCAGTCAAGTCAGGACAACACTCAAGAGTGGTAGGTAGGGACGGCATACAGGATATCAGGATATCTAATATCCATTTCTATTTCTATTACCAGCATGCCTCAGGAATGTCAGCTTGTTTGTTGTATTTGGGTCAGTAACGGTCAGTATGAGAGAAGTTTTCTTCTGATGATGACTGCAGACATTCCCCTTCGTATTGTGCCGCCATCATCCCCTTCCCCTGCACCCTTTGCTCCTGAGTGTCGCCGAGTAGGCCGTTAGTATTGAAGTTGCTGGCATCCTTCCGACTACGACTTGCTTATCCGGGCTTGGGACGAGCTCGTAGCCTTCCATGCATTCTCGGCTTTAATTCCTAGGGGAGCTGCAACATGTCTCGACGTCCAAGAGCCGAAGAAGTGTAGACACATACACATACATATCTAGATGATATAGTCATAGTTACATACATCATACATACATGCATGCATACATAGATACATAGATACATAGATAGACAGACAGAGATATTGAGAATGCATTCCGCACGGCCCAATTCCGAGCTGAAGTCTAAACACTCTAGACAGAAGCCTTTCCGAGCCCGAATCCCCGAACCCCCGGAATGCCAGGCGAATCCCAAATGACTTGAGCTCAAAAATCTTCAGGACACAAAACTGGATCGACTTCGAGGTTCAGAGGCTCTCCAGCCGGGTCTAGAGGATTCAAAGTTTGATTGAGAGTTTCGGGTTTTGGGGTTGGGGCTTTTCGGATTGAGGGTTGTGAAAATCCCCTGCCTTTGGGACTCTGATTTAGGAAAGCCGTGTTGACCTCCGTATACTCGGGAAATTTCTTGCTTGAGCTTGTACAGGAATTGTCTCAGCACTTGTATGGCGCCCTTGACAGATGCACCTTACCGCAGACGTCTTGAATCGCAGCGAAAAATTGGCTAGCCTGTATGCAGTGTCGACTCCGTAAGCTGGCATTCAGATCAAAAGGGTTTAGCCTTCGAGATGTGGGATATCAAGCACAGGAATTGTCACACGCACACACCGGCAGCGCATCATGCATGCACGCGTCTCGTCCTACTGTTTCTGCATTGAGGCTGCAAGAACACATACATATGCATGCACATACACGCACACCTGCAGGGCATGCACCCAGTTCTGGTCCACGTGAGCATGCATACATACATCTACACATGCAGAAATACATACATGCCCACATGCATTGCGTGTGTATGTCTGCATGCATGCACGCATACATGCATGCATGCGTGAATTTATGTCTGCATGTGCGATCATGTCCGTATGTACGTCATTGTTCGTCATGTATTTCTATACATATTTCTATACACTGGGGGGTGAAACCAGCGAGCATCAAATAAAACAAAACAGGG